TTTTTTTTTTTTTTTTTTAATCCAGTTTTGTTTAGTGTATAAAGTTTGTTTCGGTAGAGCATTAAATTTTAAATGAATGTCTTTTGACATGATAAAAATTTTCTACCTCTCAATTTATTTCTGATCAGCATTTATGGTTCAATAAAAGGGGTGCTTAAAAGTTTCTGAACCAATTACCAAAAGCAGAACAAATGACCAAATATCAGATGTTTTATGAAAAGCTTCTTCATCAAAACAAGAACTTTTCAGCACTCATATCTTTTGGCACATTCTTGGGATAAAAGATATATTTTCAAAATTGACCTTAATAAGTTTTAATAAATTCCTGAAATTTATTTTAAACTTATTTTTATTTTTCATAAAATGTAGTTATTGTTTCAGAGAAATCTCTAAATCTATGAATCATGTCTGTTTATATTTAATTGTATTCAATCATCTTTGACAGTTTTGCAAAATGGTTTTTCTTGTTTTTTTTCTTTCTTTTTGGCTGAAATTCAATTTACAAATCTTTGTAAATAAAGATGCTTTGAGTATTTAACACACACACATACACAGTTTAAAGATATTTTATGCCTATAAGTCTAGCAGTGACTTGAAAATTAAAAAAAGAATTTGCAATTTTTTATAACTTAATCCTGAGAAGCTTGTGATTAGCAAATTCATTTTAAATATTTAAATGAAAATTTTCTTATATTTTTTGTTTATTTTTCCCCCCTTAAATCTGTTTTTCTCAACTTAAAATGATTTTTCCACTGCTTGTTTTTAATTAATTTATTCTCAAAACTTTTGTTTCATATTTTGTTATGGATAATTTGCATAATTGTCAAAATCATTTTACACAAATATTAACATATTTAATAGAATTGATTGATTATAGCTATTATATTTTGAAATATTTTAATAGACTGATTTCTTTCTATTAAAATCAAATGTATGAACGATCAGTCAGTTTGTCGGTTTATTTAATATTTCAAGCTTTTGAATGATTTCATTCATTGTCAAGTATCAAAGTCCATTTTGTTCAAATCCTGTGATGACTATGCATCTTACTTTTAAATATGATGCATTAGTTATTTTTAATTTTTGAATGTATTTGATGTCATATGAAGGTGATTTTGGTTTTTAATTTAGATGTTTGTAATGTTATGTGAATGTGGTGTTTTATAAGCATTAAGAATTGAAATAAAGTTTAGATTATGTGTTCCTAAATTGTTATTGATATTGTTAATTTTTTTTTTGTAACTTAATATAAATAACTTTTAAAATGTGTAATCTTTTTTGCAGTTTAATGGTAATAGTGATATTAGTTTAAGGAAACATTTGGCAATCATTGATAGAACAGCCAGTCCTACTGTTGGTTGAAATTTATAAAATCTTTCTATTGAAATAATTTTCAGGACAGTAGATTAATTATTATTACAAAAAATTCAAAACTTAATTTAGTCATTAATAATAAAACCAACATACAATCCAATCTTCTATATAAGAAAATTGTTCTTTATAAATTCTCTTGCCCTATTGGAGATTATTAACAAACAACACTATAAAGTATCCACAAAGCTGCATTCAGATTCACAATTATTTCCACTCAATAGCCTCAAGAAAATTCTAAAACATAACTGTTACCACCCATCCAATAACCATTATAATAAAACTACCCATAATATACTACTGACCAGCATATATAAATAGTTGAACCAAAACACAACACATATGGCCTGAGGGTTGTGTTTAAGCATAAAACAGACTGTCACCACTGGGTGTTAACCACAATGTTCACTTATATATATATATGGATTAAACTGTTATATTACAAATATGTGTAGACCACATCAATCTGCCAAAGAATTGGGGAAATGGTGACATTACATTGCGAAGTGACCGGGCATCCCAGGGCCTTGCTCAATCACTGCCATCAAGAACCAGGATTCCCAGGGTGCTATCCTGACTACTCCTGCACAATCGGCCAGGCAATAAGGAAGTGATTCCTCCCCAACGGCCAATATGCTTCCGCAATGGGGAGAGGAAGGAGATGTAGAAGTCAAGTGACTTACCTGCTAGCATGACTGCCTTGTGCCTTATTGGGAAAAGCAAGCCAGCTAATTTTACCTCATTTATAGGAGAGTACCTAATGCACCAGTTGGGTTGGTCCATTTTGCTAAAATAGACCTACCCAACACATTTGCATGAGTGGTCTCTATTCACCATATATCTCTCCATTAAATGACTTAGGTCAGCTTTTTTTTTTTTTTTTTTACTTGGGACTACACTATTCTACTTGTCATTTTTCACTTTATATAATTAAAGTGCATCTGTTTACAGTAAAATAAACGAATAGTAGTTTTTGTTTTAAATCTGGTTTATTATGTATGTCACTTTGATTAATAAAAACATTGTTACTGTTAAATACAAGTTTTATACAAAGTCATTTTAAAATGATCTCATCTATACATTGTTAAAACATTGTTTTGTTTGTTTTTAGACATTATCTATGGTTCCTACCAAAATATAAGAATTGTATTTGTGTTAAAGTTATTCATTGTCTATAGAATATATATTAACTTCCAACCACAAGTTAATTTGTGGTTGGTAGTTTTTATCATGACACCAATTACCAATTATTTAGTGGTTGGCATTTTCTAATCCATTTTCATTTGCAGATGCCAACAACAAGTTTATTCACAGTGATACTTTTAATGTGAAAACAATGTTGAGACTTAAGTTGAATCTATAAATCAACCCATAAAACTTTTTATTGCCTCAGTTGGCTATTATAAAGTTGGCATTTAAATTTGGATTCCATAACTGACCTCTGACAGTCAATGTGTTAAATATTTTTGGCCCAACAACAAATTCTAATTTAAAAGATAGATAATGAAAAAAGTTAAAACTGGAATAGCAAATCATATTCTCTTGAGATGGACAACCTATCTCTATTCAAAAGGCAATTTTATTTCTTTAGTTAGGATTCTTCTTTTTTTTTTCTTTTTTTTTTTTAAACCAAATCTTATTTTTAAATTCACCTTAACAAATATCAGATTTCTCTCCATAATCAGAAAATTATTTTGATATTCTGAATTTCATAGAAACAATATTAGATAGTTTTCACTCCCTGTCCAGTAGACAGACATTTTTGTCACTGAATGAGAAAAGCAAAATGCTTTGTATAAATTCCTAATTTACTTATTAAAAGGTATTTACTCTTATTTGTGATATAAAATAAGTTAAGGATATCACTCTTTCTAAAAGTGAGCATATAAAATTAAAATAAAAAATAATACTGTTAATATTCTTGTATTTTGTTTAGCACTCGATCAATTAAACATTGAAGATGGAATGAAAATGCCATGTCCTTTACACAAAAGAAAAAGTATGAAAAATAACCACATTATAACAAAGATATTCTCATAAAGTCAAGTGAAACCTTGCATTCTGTGGATATAAAATTTATATCTGATTAACTTAATGAAGTCTAAAGCATAGCAGATAAAATTGCTTCTTCAGATTAAAAATGAACCTTTTGATCATACACTATATTTTTCCCATTGTTGGCGAAGAAACTAAAACAATAAAATTGGAAATTCATAATTTTACAGAAAGTTACAATGCCATACAGCTGGACAGTGAATCAAAGAATCCCTTGCATGTCCTTTTCTATGATTATTGTAATTTACAATGAAATCTTTATTTACTGCTGTTTTTAAACTTCAGAATTATAATTTCAAAGCTGCTTTTTTTACAAATTTGAAAAGAAAAGTTTATTGTTGTAATCCATGATGTCATAGGTAAGATACATAAGACAAAAATATATCAAGACATTTTGCTCCTTCTCAGTGACAGAAAATACCAAAAACAAGTGCCATAATTTTCATAGTATTTTTGCAAACAATATAGCAAGTATGAATTGAAAAAATTGATCACTTAATAGAAAATTTATTAAAAAATAGAACCCTTTTTGCCTTTCATCAGCATGACAGATGCTCACCGCCAGGAGAGTGACTCTTTGTGCCTCCCTGGACTAATGTTTTCCACTGACATGAAGTGGAAAGATTATATTGAATTGCTAAGAAAGTTGGTTCACTGTGTCATGCTAGATAATTTTTCTCGCCAGAATCTATCTTACATATTTATAAGTCTACCATTCATCCATTTAAATATTGTTGTCACATCTGGTCTGGTGCTTCTGCTACATATTAAGAGATTCTTGATAAAATCCAAAGAATCTGCACTGTTATTAGTCCTGACCTGGCATCTCAGCTTCAGTCATTAGACATGCCTAGAGAGTAGAAAGGATGCATTTTGATTCTCCTCACATGATAATTTTTAAAGTGTACTCTTCATAATTTAAAAATATTATTACATTTTTCAATAAAATCATTCTATTAAGGTAATTTACAGGGCTTTGAATAAATTAAAACATCAACATTTGTACTTAGAAGATGAATTTGATTAATTATGAGAGTATTGTTGAACCAAAAATTTGTTTGAACAAATTTTGACACTGTCTTTATCCCGAATTGTAAACGAGAAAAAAATGGATAATCATCAGTTTTCAGGAATTAATGCAAGCATATCTGACAAACAGAAGTGGTTTATTTGTGTGTATATAATTGTTTTCTTCAAAGCAAAGAAACTTATTTTTCATTTGTGATTTATTCCCCTCCCCCCCAATCTGTCTGTTGTCTTGTTGATTCTCTTTGTAAATGACCATAAAATCTTTTATATTCTTCCATAAATTATTCTGGCTTGTAAGCATGAGACTTTGACACTCAGCTCTCTAACAAAATATGAAAACAGAAATCAAATAAGCATTAGCTGAGACTTAAAAACTAACAGATGCAGACAACATCTGAAGGACAGACAAAATATGAAAAAAAAAAAAAAAAGATACTAGTCTGAATAATTTATGAGATACTGAAAATGCTTTATTTAAAATTCAGAAACTTTTATCAAAAGAAACTTTGTGCATATTTGTTTTTCTCTTATTTCAATTATTTCAGGAAGAAATGATTGTGTCTTTCAAATGCCCGAAAGATATTCCTCGAGTTATTGATGCCGAATGGGGACAATCAGACAAACCAGTTGTTCTTATGTCAGATGGTTGCATCCGTATATTTGACCTTACCATGAAGAAAGCTTCTTCTCCAATCATAGACTGGGACTTGGAAGGTAGGCTAGAATCTTTTCTTTCTTTTAAAATTAAAATATTTTTGAAGGCACAAGAAACATAGAAAATCAGATTCATAAACTCATGTTAGGAGAACAAATTAAAGAAAAAAAAATGTATCTAGTTTTGCTAGTAAAGTTATTTTAGTGTATCAGATAAAGAGAATTAGTGTTTGAAAGATTGTTACACCAGTCTTGCAAATGGAAAGGGACAAACAATGGTGACATTAGTAAGAAATTTGAGACTATCTCAGCCAATGAATTGGCCAAGAAAGTGTTTATCATAAGCATAAAGAAAAGTTCTAGTATAGCAACACATATTTTTATATACTTTGACAGGAGCAGAGTTAAGTGAAAGAATTTCTTTTTCTTTTCTTTTTTTTTTTAATAATTTATTCTAGCAAAAGTTGTACAAAAGAGAAAAATACAGATATTGGTTTATCTGTTTCTTTCACTCTCAGTAACTCCTTATATCTTAGTGGCTTTGTTTGTTTTTTTTTTGTTTTTTTTTAATCATTTTACTCCAAAATGATTAAAAAAAACAATGATATAAATCAATGGATAGAAACATATGATTCTGAACCAAATTTTAAATTATATTAAATGTATTAAACTTTAATTTAAAAAATCAGACTTTCATTTTTCCCCTTTTTTTTGTTATGGGGACCAGTTGTCCTGTCAACAAACAGACAGACCAGTGAACCAGATGCCCATTTGAAATTTCATTTTCTTTATTTACATTTTGGTTTTGTTTTAATTTTTTTAAGCAAACAGAAAATCTTAAACATTCTGACAAGTATTCATTTTTTTCATTCAAACTCCAGAAAAGATTTTTTGCCCTGCCTTGTTACCCAGCCATGGTTCTTTGCTGATGAAAACATTTTTACAAAACCAAACTTGGAATGAAAAGTACACATTCAAGCTCACAGGTATGAGAGATGAGGATCAAGAAATCCAAAATAGTGTCAACAAACAACTGAAACTAATAAACAGGTAATTATTTTGATGGCTGTATTTTCTTTATTTTAATCATACATTTAATATATATATATATATATATATATATATATATATATATATATATATATATATATATTTGGATTCTTTTAATTAAAAAAACTTGTTTAACTTACACAATTATTTTATTTTACTTATATTAATGCAATAATTTTCTTTTTATATACAGGGTGTTTCAAAAGAATACATAAAATCATTACACTGTGTTTTTCAGGTCTATAGCACTGTAGTGGACTGAATCAGTGGTTATTTGATAGAGTAGTTATCAAAGTTTGATTGGGTGTCAGTTTCACCGCTGTCATTAGTATAACTTCTGGTGCAGCTGAATTGTGGGAAGATCAATCAAAATGATGACTCCTCAGTAGAAGGCGTTTGCGTGTTTGAGTTAAATGAAAACAAATGCCATTGTCGCGGTGCAGCGTGCTTTCAGAACAGAATTCTGCATTGATCCGCCCCATCGTGAAAGCATTCATTGATTGGGTTAGACAGTTAAAGAGAGTGGGTGCCTGTGCAAAGGAAAGAGTCCTGGAAGACCACGTGTTACAGAGAAGCAAGTGGAGAGGATACATGATGCATTTGAGAGCAGCCCATGTAAGTCCGTATGTCGAGCAAGTCTTCAGCTTGCTATCCCTCATACCACTGTCTGGCGTGTGTTAAAGAGACGATTACACATGAAACCATACAAACTAAGCCTCATCCAAGCACTTAGTAATGATGACAAGGTGATGCGGAGGACATTCTGTGAGTCAATGCTGGAGATGGAGGAAGGTGATGAAACTCTCTTTTCATGTTTAGTTTTTAGTGATGAAGCGAATTTCCATTTGAGAGGCACAGTCAATCATCACAATGTGCGCATTTGGGGAACAGAGCACCCACATAAAAATGTTGAGCATATCGGCTTGATGTTGTCTGCGCTGCCGGTGGTGGCCACATTGAGCACTTATAAAACATGAAATGAAACTTGAATCTATATACAACACATGTTCATGCTAGAAGTTTGTAATGTTTTTCGTTTTTGACACATCGCGTGATGATTTTGGTATATTCTTTTTGAAACACCCTGTATAATGGAGTTCAAAGTTGGGCATTTCATCCTGTTTTCAAAATATAACATTGTTTCCCAAGAAAACAATAATTAATAATAATATTAACTTGTTTTGTCAGTAATTCACAGAAAACCAAAAATTTTATCCCACTTTACAAAACATTTCTGATTCATAGATTTAAAATTTTTTTTTTAATTCTTGATTCTTTCTTTTTTTTTTTTTTTTTGTCTATCTTTTAATGTTTGGTAGTTGAGTCAAGAAATGCAGTAGATGTGTAGTTGTGTGTGTGTAATATACAGGGGTTTAAAAAAATAATGGAAATATCTTGTTAAATGGAAGTTTTATTAATACCCAGTTGGTCAACTTTTGGCATCAATCACAGCTTTAATATATCAAGGAATTGACTTGTACAAATTCTGAATGGTTGTGTGGGGAATTATGAGCTATTCTTTAAAAACCTACCTTAACTTTTTTTTCAGCAACTATATGAGAGGGAAACATTTTTTCACTTGCTATTTCAAAAGGCACCATAAATATTTGATTATATTGAGATCCAATGATTGTGGGGGCCAATCCAAAAGGTCTACTTTACCTTTGTGTTCTTCATACCAATTTTGAATAACATTAATCATATGAACTGGTGTATTATCGCCAGGGAAGATTGTCCATGGAACAATATTTGTACCATAGGATGCATAATAATCCGTGACATTAACTCTGCCATGTCAAACAGCTAAAGGGCCAAGAGAATTCCAAATCATCACAGAACCCATCTATGCTTCCCAGCAGGGGCCGAATAGTCAGGGTTGAACGCTTCTTTGGGCTATCTCTAGACATAAACATACTCCAAGTGAGTAGGGGAGGGGTGAATGATGATTTGTCAGAGAAGATATGGCATTTTGTTCAATTGAGTCATTGACCACTTTGAACAGTCTAGATATAATTTTTCCCACTTATCAATCAGGAGAGAGAAATTGCAGCTCTCTCATGGTATCCAACTTTATGGAGTTCATGGTTTGAATGGTTTTCATTGACACAGGTTGAAAAGTAAGTATTGATTTAGCTCAGCTGTCACTTTTGCTGCATTAATTTGATTGTTTAAAAACATAATAAATTTTATTGTGTGGTACCTCTCTGAGTTTTGCCTTCTGTCCACAATTATTATTACTAAAACTGGTTTAACTTTGTTTTGGAATGCCAACATGATTTTAGAGAGAGTAGCTCTTAAAATATTATACAGTTCAGCAGTTTTAGTGACTGAGGATCCAGCCATCCTGTGACAACAATTTGTCCTCTTTGGAAATCAGATAACTTATGCATTATAACTCCTTCGAATATAAATATCTGGAAAAGAACAGAAGCATATATAATGTATATGAACACATTTATACAGACTTTTGAATTTATCATATTGGCATAGAAAAATTATATTTGTCATAGAAAAAAAATGGTTAAATAAAAAGTGTTTTTTCCATCATTTTGTCCAATACCTATGCGTGTGTGTGTATATATATATATAATTATTTTTTATAAAAAAATTATAACATAAGTATGTTATAAAATCACTACAAAAATAGCCATTTTGTTTCAACACACTCTGTGTCTTATCAAGTGATGATGTTGAAAAGAAAATAAATGGTTTTAAAAGTTTCAGATTAATTAACGATCCTACACTAGGGGGAAACATTGTTACAAAAGCTAGAATAACCAATCAAAAACGAAGTATAGAAAGATTAAAAAGCTTGACAACGAAATCCTACTATAATAGCTATTCAGATCTTTAAATACGTGTAATATTAAAAATAATTTATACTAACTAATAATTATAAAATTATATGATAAAATTTAATATTAAAATTAAAAACTGGCAATTTTTAAAATCCAAATTTAATCACTATTAAGTTTAAAAACTACAAAATTATTGAGAAAAGAAAAAATATATATGTTTATTCAATTCATTTCTTCATTGAAATTACGTTCGACAAGACAAGACGCTACAATACATCCGGTCATTTGACAATACATGTATATATTTTTTTCTTTTCCCTTTCTTTTCCGTTTTTATTTTAAAGTTTGTGAATGTGGTCTTAAACTCACGCGTAAAAACAACAAAAACACAAAATGGCTATTTTTGTAGTGATTTTATAACATACTTATGTTATAATTTTTTTATAAAAAATAATTATATCTGCTCTACTTTGTATTGAGCACTCTTTTAAGAATAGTAATTCTTGGTTATTGGAATTCATTCCGTATATACCAATTATATACTTGGAGATATATATATATATATATATATATATATATATATATATATATATATACACAATTCAAATTTACTGTTTATAGGTGAATAGTGTTGAATATCAGCAATAATGTGTTTAGATATAAACAGAAATATAGAAATCAAAGCTACATGGTGACTATCAGTTTCTCTCTCTCACACACATACACTTATATGTATAGTTTTTAAGGTATGCTATATTTATGGGTTAAAGTGTTTAATATCAGGTATACAGTGTGTGTGTATATATATATATATATATATATATATATATATATATATATAAGGCCACTGAAAGAAATTCAAGAGATAAAATGCAAATATAATAATGTTAATTTTGGACACTCTTGGATATGAAAACATTTAAATTTTTTAACATCTTTTCTCATCATACTTTCATTTGGTCAAAAGGCTTAACAATATACAATTTATATTATTGGTCTTATTTTTGTTGTTTCCTTTCTCTCAAATTTCTTTCATGGGCTTTACTATATCTACATATTATAAGAACCATTCATGAACATTCTTTCATTACTACTATATATATATATATATATATATATATATATATATATATATATATATATATATATATATATATATACACACATGTGTGTGTGGTGATGAAGAGATCTCAGAAGAATCCTCTTCCTAACATCTGACCCCCAAAAGTTTTTTTTTGTTGCAATGACTTCTTGGTCAAAAATCAAACTTTTCAGCACCCTTGTGTATGTATTTTAGGGTTCATACAGGTCCTGGAAAATTGATAGAGCCTTTTCCAGGACTTGAATTGTCTTGTGAAAACAGCAATAGCCCAAAAGCTCTTTGAAAAGTCCTGGAATTTTCTAAATTGGGCTTCACACATATCTCTTTTCTTAATTTCTGAAAGTCAAAATGCCAAATCCCAGAAATCTGGCTTTTTTACAAGCCATAATTATCCTTTAAGAAAAATGTTTTTTTATTAGTCAGTAATTGGCAATTATTGCTAACAGTGGATTGTTTCCTTCATTAGAACAAGTTCATGACCTCGCAGTTACTTCTCTATTTTCTCATCTAGGACACAAGAAAGAATATGAAGGCATGTCTTCTAGCTGCTACCTTCACTCAAAGATAAGACATCAGAAACAAATAAAAATCTCTGTCAAAGATAAATTACTTTACGCTCATTGAGTTTATATTTTAAAGGAAAATAATGAATAATTTTACAGTAATAAAATGCATTTAGCATTTTAGTTAAATTTGGACAATTGGAGAAATTTTATTCACATGTCAATTTCAAAAGTAAAAAGTCATTTTGATCTCTAGTCAGCAGTGGGTGAGTTCATGCTGAAAAAATAGATACTTTAACTGTCCCATGTTAATGTTTATCTAAGTGTAAACTACATTTGTCTAAATTGTTGCCAAAGTAACAAGTTTGAGAATCAAATTTGACTCAAAGAAGGTAGGAAGGATGAAGGTAGGCATTTTGCCTGATGTTATCAAATTTGTGAACTTATTTAAAAAATGTTCCTATACCTAGTCCTAGTCTGCAGTGCTGTCAAATGTGAATAACATTTTATTTGCAGTGAAACTGCAGATTTTTCTGTCAGTTTTAAAAGCCATTGGACTTCTTTCTGATAAAACATCAAAGCAATAAACCATTGCTTCCTTTCCTTGCAGATAATCTTTTTAGCATGATCATGAAACTGTTAAAAAGATTTGTAAAGGAAGAGCACACTAAAAAGATATTTACAGTTTCCAAAGTAAATGAATTTGTAAGAATTTTGTCAAACACAAACATGCATAAAGATGCTGCAAAGATTGTATGTGGATTTCTGGCAGATAGGACTATGCAAAATTTATCCAAAAATGAAATGTCAACAAAAGCTCTGTTTAATTGCAGAATTGCAACAAAGACAATGTTCATCACCATCATTGAGAAACTTTTGGCAAAGTCTCCCCGTAGATACCCTCTTGTAAGGTCACTTGCATAGCAGAACCCTAGATACATTTGTGAAAAAAAATTTACACAGAAGACAGTCTAAAAAGATGTCTTTTCCCACATGATGGACAGAAAACAAGCCAGCAAGTCTGATCATGATGACATCATCACTTGGCACAAAGAAATTTGAGGAGGAGTCTACTAGAAATATGGCTTTCAAGAATTTTATCAAGCATGAAGACCATTTGGACAGTTTGTTCTAATCTTCTTTATCAATCAATAAAGAATATCAAAAATTGTGGAAAGTTGTTTGCAGATTGCTGGTACTCTCTCATGGACAGGCTTCAGTGGAGAGAGGTTTCTCAGTTAATAAGGAAATTTCCACTGACAATATGAAACGGCAGATTCTGGTTGCACAGCACATTATCACAGACTGTTTTGACCACAGTTGGCAGTGTTGGGAATGTTCTCATGACTAAGGCTCTCTGCAGTGCTTCCAATGCCAGAATGGCATACAACCAATATCTTGAAACTGAGAAGAAAAACTGAACAAAAATGGAAATCTATGCTTATAAAAATTGAAGAATTGAAGACCAAAAAAACACAAGTTTGAATGTTGCACACAAGATTGCTCAAGTCAGTTGACAGTTATGTGGTGGAAGCTGAGCAGATTCAGAAGTTCACACTTATTGCAAAGTTGAATGCCATGCAAAAAACTGCAAAGGAAAAATCCATAAAGATATCCAATTTGGAAGAGGAGCACTAAAAAATGTTAACATCACTTAGTTCTGTGCCATGTGCAATGAAAGCCATGAGTAGTAGGGCTAGCTAAAATGTGTAGTCTTTTGAGAACATTTTGTATTTGTAGTTCTGTTCATTAAAACTGGTATATAACTTCTCAGGAAATTTGTAGCAGTAATAATTAAAATATAGTACAAAATTTTCAAGTGCAGTAGAACTCTAAACTGTGTAGAATGTTACACAAAATGTGTAACATAACCAAGAACGGTCTTCATCACTTGGATTTGTTCACTGCTCTCATGTGATCCATTTGACTTGAATTATTGTGATCAGCTGTAACTTTTCTTTGAAATCTCATTTGTCAGTCTATTAAAAGATGAATCACAAAGTTTGTGTTTTTGAAATTTATGAATATTCACTTTGTGTGTGTATGTATGTGTGTGTATGCCAGTTTCAGTCCTTCAAAATTCATAACACAGTCCTGGAAAAGTTCTGGATTTTTTTTTTTTACACAGATTTGTATATGTATACATTTTCTTTTTTTTCTTAGTGATCTCATGTCATATCTTCCTTCATCAAAGTTTGGTGTTGCCCAGCGTTGTCTCTTGGCTGCTAAGTAAGTGACATATTTCTGTTTATATTTTGAATATTCCCATCATGCAATTATTTTTTTATAATTTAATGTGGTTGATTTATTTAGTCAGCCATTGTTGGATATTTTCCAAAAATCCACATCATAGATTTTAGATCCAAAAATATGTATTTTGTTTAATTTTTTTATCATGTTCATTTTCCAGATTATTTGGTGATGAGGCTGAAGTCCATTTCTGGACAGTAGCTCTCCACTATATGAGGTCAGAAAAAGTAGCACCTATGAGTAAGGTAAGTTCTATTGTACTCCATTAATATGACTGATCATAACTGAAATTCTGCTCTTATTTAGTTAGTTACTAAGCTTAGTTTGATACAAGGTTACAATTGTGGAGCGCTCTTAGGATAGAACTCTCTATAGTAATAATTGTCTGAGACTAATTATATATTTGAAGAGGAATTGATAAATGATATAGGTTTCATAGCAGCATCTTTGTCAACTTTTACCTTTATGCCTTTCTGGAGGTTTTTATACTTAAAGACACATTTGCTAATTTTTGCCAATTATTTATCTTTTTGTCTATTTTGGCATAAGAAGATATAACACCTCCCAGGTAGGTAAATCCTAGACTGTTTCCAGTTGTGTCGATGAAGATAAAATTCAGGAGATGCTCTTGTCGAAGCACAAGCTGATAGTAGATTAGTTTTCTTCAGACTGACTCTTAAACTAAAGGTTTCTGTGGCATTTACAAAACAGGATGATATATGCTGCATGGTTGACTCTTTGTGAGTAATATCATATCCACAATGTTATCTTTTTGTTAACACCTCATTTTGTATAATAGAAATATTGTGTTGTATGCCTGGTGAAAGGCAACTTTTCCACATGGACAGGTTAATCATTCCAACCTGTCTGTCATAAGAGGCAAAACACATTGTCTGGATTCACTTTCTCATCTCCACAGGTCAGTTATACAAGATATATTTTATGTACACAATTATGTAACAATTTAAATTCAATCATTGCTAGCAATGAATTCTTGGTTCCAGGCTATCTTCCCCTTTGCCAAAAAGATTCCAGCATTCACATGCATGACTTTGGTGTTTACATCCAGGATAATCTTCCAATGGCCAGGGAATCGTCTCTTGAGTCACCAGATAACTTTTCATGTGCTTCCATCTTTCATTATTAAACTCTGTTAGTTACTTCTTTTTTTTTTATTATTGCTCCCCATCTTCTCAGGACTGCAGTATATTAGATATAATTGCTGACAGTATAGAAAAGGCACTTTCTCTCTATCCATCTGTGAACATCTTTGTCTTCAGTGACTTTAATGCTCACCACAACATGTGGCTTAAACATTCTAAGGGTGCTGATGTTGCTTGTATTTAGACATTAATTTTTTCCATTGTGCAATACCTTACTCTAATTGTGGACTTTCCTACTCATTTCTTTAGCAAAACCAAGCAACAGGCTTCTCTACTTGATTTATATCTTACCTCCTCTCCTCACCTCACCAAGCTTTGCAACACTGCCCTTTTGGTAACTCTGACCACCCTGTGGGATCTATTGATATTTCATTCAAAGCATCTATTAAACAGGAACCACCTATTCATAAAACCTCTTTCTGTTACCAGCATGCTAATTGGGACTCACACTCCATGATTTTCTTTATGATGCCTCTTGGACTGACATCTTCAACTTCCCAAATGAGAATTGCACCACTGAGGTTTCTTCTTTGGTCAAAGCCAGTATGGACACTTTTATCTCTTCTTGGAATCATAGTTCACGCCAGTATGCTTGGCCTCTATAGCACATAGGAACCACCATTTTCAGTTATGACAGCTCTCATTCCAACAGGCACCTAATCATTGCTACTTGTAATAAATGTAAACAAGTCTTTAAAGGGGTTAAGTCTCTGCTTGCCAAGAGAATGAGGCACTGCATAGCATCTAACAACTTTGACTCACATGATTACTGGCAGCTCTGTAATAGGGTATTAAGTAAGTGTAAGGTCTCTAATCCTCCCCTCTTCAATCAATTTGAGGTGTTAACATCCTCTGTTGATAAAGCCCAATGCTTTGCCTGTAAATTGTCCTCAAACTACTTGTGACTCATCTGGAGTATCCCTGCCAAACTTCCTATTTAGAACTGAGTCTCTGTTGAGTGATAGGCATATAACCTCTTCTGTGGTTTTTGCTATCATCTCTAACCTAGATCCTCATAAAGCATGTGGATCCAACAGTATCCTTGTAATAGTCATTAAGACGTGTGCTCCCAAACTGGGTCCTGTTTTCTCTAAACTCTATAATAAATGCCTTGCTGCCTCCTTGCCTGATGGAAGTCATCATCAGTTCAAGTTTTTTAAGAACTCTGTTGAACCATCCATCCCTTTCAACTATTGGCCTATTAGCCTTTTACCTCTTTTTGAAAAACTCTAAGGCCCTAATCAGTGCTGTATTGCTTCATCATCTCTCATTTGCGGAGCCGTTTTTTTTTTTTTGCCAAGCAGTATAGCTTTTGTTTCTCCAGAGCAACTGCTGATGTACTGATGATAATTGTGGAAAAAGTCTATCATGCTCTAGATGAAAATGGTAAAGCCCAGTCTGTAGCATTGGACATCTTGAAAGCTTGTGACAGGGTTTGGCATACAGGTCTTCTCCACAAGCTGAAAAGTTATGGTGTCTCCAGTCATATTTTTGAACTGATCCAATCTTTCTTATCAAATTGTGAAATGAAAGTTATCCCGAACAGCCACTTGTCTAGATCCTTTTGTACTAACACGGATGTCCCTAAAGGCGCCATCCTTGGTCCTACCCTATTTTTAATTTTCATTAATCACCTTCCTGATGACATCAGCACTTGACTTGGCATTTATGCTAATGACCATTTACTCCTGCTTCGATAGGCTGATCAGTCTGACAAGGTCAAAATGACAACAAGCCTGAGAAACCTCTCTCTATCTTCCACCAGCATGGCTGATGCTAACCTCCAGGAAAGTAACTCATTGCACCTCCTCAGATTAACATTCACAGCTGATATGAAGTGAAAAGACTATATTGAATCCATTGCTAGATCAGCTGCTAAGAAATTGGGTTCACTGTGTCGTGCAAGACAATTTTTCTCTCCAGAATCTATCTTGCATATCTATAAGTCTACCATTTGCCCATGCTTAGCATATTGCTGTCACATATGGTCCAGTGCTCCTGCTATTTACCTTGAGCTCCTTAATAAGAGCCAAAGAAGAATCTGCAATATTATTGGTCCTGATCTGGTGGCTCAGCTTCAGTCAATTTCCCACTGTCGTAAGGTTGGCTCCCTGTGTATTTTCTATAAATGCTTTTATGGTAATTGTTTGGATGAGCTCTTTGCTATGGTACCTAGACTTTTTAAATTTAAGTACAGTACTAGATTGGTGTCAGCATCTAATCATTTTACAGATGTAAATGTAAATTCTATGCTAACAGTTTCTTTTCTTGCAATTCTTGCTTCTGGAACTCCCTTCTGGTTCCATGCTTTCCAGCCAACTTTAATCTGCAAAAATTTAAATGCAATGTCAATTGCTATCTACTGTCATCCTGATTATTCTTTTTCTTCTTGCTCATTATTAATATTTCTGTTGCTAATTCTACTACGCCATTTAATCCATTGTGTCTTAGTGGCTTTACTTCCTTGAATGGGGTGAACCCATTAAAAAAAACACATCTCATTTTTGATAGTTCCTGAATTTTTTGTTTGTTTTTATCAAATCAAACTCCTTAATAAATTGATGACTTATTTTAAATATTTCAAGGATGGTAGTTTCCAGATAGACAGAAGAATCATTTTTTGGAATACATCATCTTCTATTTGGGGCTGTAAACCTTTTTTAAAAGTCTTATCCTTTTGAAGACAATTGTCTCTGAATATTTTTCAAGAGGCTGCTTCTCCTCTTTAAGTAGAAGCTGAGCTTAGAGTGGATGAAGCAGTGGGATGCTCTGTCATTGGTATTACTCTTGTGTAATTGATATCTATTATGTTTCTCTAATACACAGGCATTCAGTCTGAGGTTTGTTAGTGCTTTGAACAAAGGTGATGCATCTACGTAATTTATAGCATTTTTTTTCTTGGGAAATAAAATATTGGTGATACACAGTCCTTGTTCTACACAAAACTCTAAGACGTCCATTGTTATTCCATTTCACTAAACCAGACTTCCCAAGAATGTCCTCCCAGATGTATGGTCCAGTTTGTTTGTAAGAAGGAGACACATGGAAATGATAGTGTCAGAAGCCTATGCCAGAGAGACACATTTTTATTTTCAGCTTGCCTGAGCAATAAAGTGTAGATTAGATAAATGGCCTTTATCTAAGAAACTGACTTTGCTGCTAGTAACAAAATTAATATCCAGTTTTGCAAGTTTAAGTGCAATTAAAACAGTGATGATGTGCTCTCTTACAGTCTCACACTGCCCAGTATTGTTCTTGGGCTCCAGCAGGCAAGTTTGCCTTAAATGTCATTTGACCACTTTGAAACTTTGAAGATGCCCATTGGTCATTGTAGGTCAGCTGGGATGGATAGAAACAAGATTTTTTTTTTTTTTTTTTTTAATGCTACCTTTCTCTCCATTTGGACAGGACTACTTAGTCACGCGGTGTACTACTAAATGATGTGCAGTTGTTTCCAGATTCAACATCAAGTAATCACTTCTCTGAGCTGTCTGCATTCAGGGTATGCACCATCATTTCTAGTATAATTTGCCATTTGTTAAGTTTACTCTATTAAGTTTAGGACATAAGTGGAAAGTTTTCAGGTCTGTGCAGTGAAGTTTTATGGTGAAGTTCATTGTGCATACTATTGGCTGAAAAATTTGTCATGGCACATCAAAGTGGGATAGAGGAGGACTGATATTACATATCAGCTTACTATTCTTTTCTTTGTTTCTTAGTAAAAATTAATTTTAATGATTCTCACCAACCAGGCATTTAGAGGTGGATTGTAAGACATTCTATTAATAATTTCTGTCTGCATTTTGGGGATGAGGAGTTATCATCATTACTTACACTATTGACATTTGGACTATTGTCCTCATCTTTCTTGTTGTTATCACAACATTTTGGCTGTTCAGTCCTCTGGCCTTCATCAGGTGTATATCAATCTGAGTAACCTACAGGGAAATCTGAACTTAACTCCTTATTTAATGTATGCTGGTTCTTCATGTTCCACTACCCATGCCTGGGGATATCTTATCTAGGTCTTATTTTTAGTATTGCTCAGTTATTGCTTGCCCTGTTTCCACTGTTCAAGTACACACTGCCCAGACCAGAGATCGAACTCACAATTACTATGTGACCAAATTCACAAACCAATGCTTTAATCCACTAGGCTTCTGCTTTATTCCAATTTGGCATTTGATCAAATTCACCAAAGTGTATTTTAATAAGAAGAAAATAAGAGACTATAGAATCTGTGTCATTGAGCTCCACCCCACCCTGCCTAATAGCCTATTTATGGCTGGAAGATAAAACAGGGATGCAAAGTTTATTCATTTATTTAATGGTTTTCAATTGGGTTATTGAACTTGTAATCAAAGTGAATTTGCTAATTTTCAGCACATAAATTTTGCTTTACTGGTATTTTTACAAAAGTTTTACAACTTTCAAAAATTGCCTTTTTCAGTCCTTTGACCAAATACACTATTTTGCTTTTTCTCTTTCTTTGAATTCATCTTCTAAATTCAGACAATTGTTGATAGGATGATTGAAATTTAAATCTATTTCAATATAAGGCAAGCAGTGAATAGGTATAATGTTACGTGTTTTACTTGCAAGGTTACCTTATGCAATTGTAAAACTAAAAATAGACTCAATCGTCATACAATCTGTTACCTAGCTTTTTAGCAAGCCTCAGGCAAATTGCATTTTTATACATGTAATGACCATGCACGGAAGCGTCCTCAAACTGCGTGTGTGTGTTTTCGTTGGGCACACCTTGGAGTACCATAATGGACTCGACCAAGGACTACAAGAAGACGCGTGAGTTGTTTAGTGTTGTTTTTTGTGCGACAAAAGCTGTTGTGGTCGGTCGGTCATCTGTTCGTTGGCAGCAGTCGTGGGTGGCGTTTGCTGTCGTAAAGTGTTCGGAGGAGGAGTCGTGCATTCATTTCAGGTTCGCAAGGAGGAGTTTTTTTTTTTTTTTTTTTTTTCCTAATTCCTGTTTTCTCACAAGCTATTTCGGCATTATGGCCTTCGACCCGAAGCTGATACCACTCTTTCAACAGAAGCGATTCTGGACAGTCGGTAGTGGAATGGTTGGAGAAGGCGGAACTGATATGTCAGGTGAGCGGTGTGAAGCGAATTGTGTGTTATCCCGATGCATTTGTCAGGTGGCGCATATGCTATGTACCAGCAATTGAGTGAGGAGAAGCGCGCAGATTTCAATTGTGTTAAGAAAGCATTATACACGGCCTTCACCTTAGACCCCTTCTCTGCATGGAAGCAGTTTGCAGCATGTCGCCTTCAGCCAGGGGAGACGGTTGACGTCTTTTTGGCAGACTCACAGTTCTGTTTGGTGGCGTATCAGAAAAGTGTTTGCAGTGTGCATTCATTACTGGATTGCCTGAGTATGTAGAGGAGCTTTTAAGAGTGTCATCCCAGATTGAAAACCTGGATTTGTCACATGTGCTGGCACAAGTTCGCAATATCTTGAAGAAGTGCACTGGTTCTACAGAGCATGCCGCAGTGGCTGCACAATTGAAGGAAACAGGTGTGCACATGAGGTGCTATAAATGTGATGGACCCAATCATAGGGCGAGTGATTGTCTCCTGGGTCGTGAACCATCCAAAGGTGCTGGTATCAAGCACTGACGGACCATCATTTGCTATCGATGTCATAGGCAAGGGCACAATGCTTGGTGTTGTCCGGGAAACGGGCAAAGGGGTGAGAATTCAGCGCCAGTCTCCTCCCCAAAACCCTTGTAAATGGTGCATTGCCTGTAGTGACAGTTCGTATCGATGGAATACCATGTACAACTCTGGTGGATACAGGATGCAAGTCATGCTGTCAAGTATGAACAAGAAAATCAACACGCGTGCTTACAGTAGACGGAGACGCACTTGATTGCTGTGGAATCGGAGTGGTACAAGTTAGTATTGGTGCAAAACCATCCATCACTATGGAAGTCCTAGTCGTGGACAGAGACCTGCTTGGATTCAACTTGCTGCTCGGACTAGACGCCATCAAACAGTTGGGAGCAATATCTGTAACTGCCACTGGTGAGGTAAAGTTTCCGCAGTGTGTCGAACCAGTCGTTGCTGCCATCATAATTACCGAGCCCAACTTTAAAGTAGAATACGATGAGACCACTCAGAGATGGACCGCATCTTGGAAATGGGCTGGCAACCAACCTCCGGGTACGTTAAGAAATAGACTGGCAGAATATCCAGCTCTCACGCAAATTCGGGAGGAGTATGATCGGGAACTCCAGATGTGGATAGATAATGGCTGGCTGCTTCCTTACCCGAAGGAGGAGCTCCGACCCCCAAAGGGTTTAATCCCCCTCATGGCCATTCTGCAGGAAAACAAGCAGATGGTTCGGCCCATTATGGACTATCAGGAACTCAATGAGTACGTTGACGTGTACGCGGCCAATGCAGATGTTTGTTCTAAAAAATTACGGAAATGGCGACAGCAAGGACCAAATGCTGCAGTGCTGGAACTGCGTCAGGCCTATCTGCAGGTACACATCGACAAGTCCCTTTGGCCATTCCAAACAGTGGAGATCAAGGGACAAAGGTATTGTCTAACCCGCTTAGGATTTGGGCTCAATGTTGCCCCTTTAATTATGCAGGATATTGTGAGCCAGGAGGAGATCATCAACGCAGCCTCCTCCTCTTATATTGACAACATTTTTTTAAATGAGAGTGTGTGTTCTGTGGTCCGTGTCAAGGAACATTTGGAGCAGTTTGGTCTGTCAAGTAAGACCCTAGAGCGGCTAAGAATTGGCACACGCGTGTTGGGATTGCATGTCTGGGAGGAGCAAGAAAAACTGCGATGTCGTCGTGGATGTGAACTTCCGGTAGTCCTTGATAAACTTACCTGCCGAATTGTCTTCTTGCTGTGTGGGAAGTTGACTGGTCATTTTCCGGTATGTGGTTGGTTACATGTCAGTATGTGTGCTTAGCTGGGTAGCTGACACCCTGTCCGAACGGACGAGGGTGTGCACCAAGGCAGCCTCCGAGATGCTCATCAGACGTTGGATAGCCACACTCCAAGAGTTGGCCTTAGAACACGAGCTGAACATTGATGTAGAGCTTGTCAAGTTGTACAACAATCGAGCCGACCAACTTACTAGAGTACCGCAGCGATGGTTAAATGAAATGCGCAAAATAACGGAACCCAGAGAACCTATGTGCACTGTGGCTGAAGAGCGAGATGTTGCTCAAGTACGAGCCATTCATCAATCCAGCGGACACCCTGGTGTGAAGAGAAAATTCTATTTTGTGAAGTTGATCGACCCAAGAGTAACAAAAGCTGAGGTGCGAGCGGCGGTTAGGGGATGCAAAGAATGCCAGTCAATCGACCCGGCCACAGTGCATTAGAAACTGAGCAGGCTTGATGTTGCGGAAAATTGGGACAGGGTTGCGATGGATGTAACCCATTTCGAACATCAACTATACCTGATGCTGATAGACTGCGGCCCCAGTTGTTTTGTTATTTGGAAGCTCTTGCACCGCCAAGACTCTACTAGCATCATCAAACAGTTGGAAGTAGTGTTTTGTGAAAGAGGGCCACTGATTGAGCTGCTTACGGATAATGGCGCAGTGTTTTGTGGAGAGAGGTTTGCCGCTTTTGCAAAGATGTGGAATGTACAAATACAATTTCGCTGTGCCCACGTACCATCAGAGAATGGGATAATTGAGAGATCCCATCGTACAATAAAGCGCATTGCGACGAGAACACAGTGTTCAGTTTTGGAAGCTGTATATTGGCACAATGTTACCCCAAAGGACAATAAAACAGCTTCAACTGCATCGGCAAATGCAACCTACACCTACAGTGTCTGCATTAAGGGTATCGACTCAGCTTTGGTGCGTGACGACACAGTTCAACAAGGGTACAGTGACACAAATTAATAGTCCACACTCCGTCTCTGTTGATGGAATACCGCGCCACGTAAAAGATGTGCGTCCATTATTCCGTCAGCGACCATGTTAGTTCTTCAGATAATGATGAAGCCCCGATGATATATATAAAATCACAGGAAGAGCACACCTCAGAGAGTAGCGCGCCTGATGAACCTATGTGGGATGAGCTCAGTGAGACGTCTGAAGAGAGCACCACTGAGGAAGCGCTTGAGCCCATAACACTGAGACACAGCACCAGGCAGAAATGGCCTGCCCCACATTGCCATTTGTGTGATCTCAAGATCAGGGAGGAGTGTTTGCCGTCATAAAGTGTTCATTCGGAGGAGTCATGCATTCGTTTCAGGTTCGCAAGAAGGAGATTTTTTTTTCCTAATTCCCGTTTTCTAACAATACATTTCCTTTTTTTCTCACCTGAAGATTTTCCGATCATTGTACATTGTAGTGTCAAATTGTGATAAAATGTATTTGATATTGTTTGCCTTTAAATGCTCCACCACAGGACGTCACTTGTTACAAATATATTTTGGTGTTGTAAATATGCCCGAAATATCAAAATTCTAAAAGTTTCCTTAATTTTCTCTTTTTGCAGACAGTGAGTCGCAGTGTTTCTGAAGGAGCAGCCGGGGATTTATTTATTCCACTGACTCCAAACAACAAAGAGACACACGATCTTGTTGTGTTCAACAGTCCACAACATGAAGACACAACCATGTTGTACCAACAGTATCGAGATGAACCGTTAGAGAAATGTTATGATGTTCTGCAGGATAGTGCTACATTCCAGGTCAGTAATTTACTTGTGCTTTGAACTAAACCAATAGTCAGAGATTACTAACCTCCCAATATTAAATTAGAACGGGCATTACTTTTTGGACTGACTTAGAATATTATTCTCTCTCCTAGAGTTTTTTATCCTTGAAATGATTTACATACATTCTTTTCGTTGTTACCTTGAAAATGGCTGCTATAGAGTCATGGTTACCCAGCTTGTGTCAATCTACAAATAAAGGTTGATAGTTGGCACCTGCTAAAGAGCAAGTGTTAGCATGTCTCTGAGTATTTTTCATGATTGCAATAAGGGATGAAATTTAGATCACATTACAGAGTACTGAATGAAAATTGAAGGATTGCATTTCTGGTAATTGTGTCTGTAAATGACAGAAAAGAAGTGCTGATTTGTAAAGTTATTTTTCAGTCACTTTATCTACCTTGCTGGCTTTCTATTGTGACACTCTTCTCTCTTTTCAGAAATCTCAGTTGGACCGTATTGCCCTCCATGACAGCAAAAGGGCTTCATATGAAAACACAAAAAAATGTGCTGAAAATTACGTTTTACTTGGTCAGACTGATCGAGCTGTTCAGCTTTTACTGGAAACAGAAGCAGACAATGACAATTATTATGTAGACAGTCTGAGGTGAGAGGCAGGATTTTAACCAGTATATGAAACAGTTTTTAGATGACGTTTCATAAAGTTTTCTTTTTTTTTTTTTTAAGATATCAAAATGTGGAATTTCTATGATTTCTATAAAATGAGATTTCTAATTTGTGTAATTGTTGCAGTAATTTTGTAGAAGTGATCTATTCTTTACAGAATGTGTAATATATTCATGTGTATAAATAATTAAAAAGAAATCTATTGTTGGACCTGAAGTGAATTAAGAAAGTAAAGTCAAAACTGCAAATTAAAAATTTTTCTGAACACACTTTACTATATATTCTTGTAGAACAATTGGTGCTAATTGAAATCAGAATTACTGAGTGCCAAAAACAAAAATATCTGTCTTATTGTGCAATGCAAAATCATTTCAACATGAATCAGATATCTATTTAATTATTTGTAAAGATTCAAGATCAATGTAATGAGTTTTTTTCCTTCTTTTGTAACATGTAAATTTTTTTTTTCCATGTCTAAAACTTGTCACCTTTTCTATCATGCACAGATTTATCCAGGTTTTTGCTACAAAATTTAGCCTTAAAATTGTAAACAACTGAAACTGCTTTTTTATTTCTTTAAGATTTATATATTGTCATTTTATTAGAAAACATATATTTAATGTGTTTTTTTTTTTGTTTTTGTTTCATTTCCTTTTGCATTCTTTGTAATCCTTTACTTTCTTTTATTATTTCTTAGAGCCTGTCTTGTGGCCAGCATTCGGTCATCAGGAGCAAGCCAAAGTACGATTAAACTTGTGGCTACTAATTTGATTGCCAATGGCAAATTGTCAGGTTGGTTTGTTCTGAACAATTTTGATATATACAAGGTAACCAAAAAAAGTCCTTGCCATTTTAAATTTTTTATTAAAAAAAAAAAAAAAGAAAAGATATACAGTATATATATATATAGTTGACATAGTGTTAATCCACAAAGTAATCTCCATTGGCATCAGAACCATGTGCTTCCAACTGCACAATACCATAGCAGTAAAAATCAGGTGTTTTGGACACAAAATCTGTGAGTGCCTGCCACAATTTTGCCTCATTTGTAAAGGATTTCTCATGATGGTAGTTGTCCAGGGAAGGGAAGAGGTGGTAATCTGTTGGTGCAAAGTTCAGGGAGTAAGGTGGATGAGACAGTATCTCCCAACCAAGTTGCCATATGGTACATCCCTGGCCACTCATGGCACATGAAGCCTGGCATTGTCATGGAGCAACAATACACCTTGTGATTAACCAATACTGGCTCCTTCTGCTTCAGTGCCTGTTGCACACATTCCAACTGCACCTAGTACAAATTTGCAATGATGGTTTGGCCTGTTGGTAGCATCTCATAGTGCGCCACTTGATGACTAGTCCACCAGATACAGAGCATGATCTTGCCTGGGTGTAGAGGTGGTCTTGTGGCTATTGGTTTGGCTATTGTCCTAATCTGGCTGCTTTCAATTTATCATCCAGGAGCTGTGGCTGACCACTGCAGAGTTCATACACATTTGTGTATCAGTGATCACTTTTCCCCACACAATGTAAAAATTGGCAAACACTTTTTTGGTTACCTTATACAATGGCGAGGAAATAAGTAGGAAAATTGAACTAATCATTCAAGTGTAAAAAGCCTTCCATCTTTGTCTGGATTTAATTGCTGACCAAGGGCTCCATTGAGAAACATGCAACCATCTCTGTCCCAAAACACTTTATAAACAACCAACATCATTTTAAAAATATATGTTCAAGCTATTGGTTTTTGTAAAATATGAGATATCTAATTTGTGTCATTGTTGCAATAATTTTGTTGGCGTGAGCCATTCTTTACAGAATTTGTAATATATATGCATAAATAACTAAGAAGAAATATGTTGTTGGACCAGATTTAAAAGGTACATTTTTAAATTATGGATTAGTTTTCGCTTCAATCTGACATTTTGCTCTACACTAGTCAACTGAATCCTATTTAAAGAGAAAGCATTAAAATCTAATATGGTTTATTAAGAAATAGAAGTGTTTGAGTGTCCCTCATAAAGCAGTGGCTAGCATGCTAATCTTACAGACTGTTGCTGTGTAGGCAATGTTCTTTACTGGGCACTCTACTGTTGTGACCCTGTGCCAGACAATTTTCTACTTTTACTTCAGATTCAACCTTTTTTTATTACATTTGTTTTCAATTTAAGCTTTCTTCATATGCATTTTTTTTGTTTTTAAGAGGGCATTCAGTTGTTATGTTTGATTGATAAAGGACTGGATGCTTGCCGCTACCTGCAGACTTATGGTGATTGGGACCAAGCTGTGTGGCTAGCTAAGGTACGTAATTCTTGTACAAAGAGTATATTAATCCATCTATTCATATCTACTTAAACACCTGCAATGTGCTTTTCCCAAAAACATAATGAAACTATCAAAAATTTCCTTAGTGCACACAAATCTTTTAATGATTTAATCTGAATGAAAAAAAACCTTCAGTTCATGACATAAAACAGGTCCACATAAAATTCTGTAGCAAATGAGTCGACTTAAACAGTGTAAGGGACGCAACTCTTTCCGTCTGAAAATGTCTGCAACGCAAAACGATGTACACCAAGCACGGGTGAAATGTTGGTCTGCCAATGTCTCCAAGCAACCTGCTTTTATGGAGCCCAGACACACCTCATTAGCATGTGTGTAACGCGACTTTGCGTGACTGCACGAGACCGTGAATATTAAAAGTCACGGACGCCATTTTGAATCTTTTCTTTCCTTTCTCAACCCACAGGCCAGGAAGATGCGAGAACGTTTGCGAGGTAGGCCGTTTCTATTTTCCCCACAAATTCCCAACAAATTTGGAATATGTTACAGTTTCAGCTGATATATCCCTTGACCTTTCCCAAGCATATGTTGTAATATCTGATGATCTTTAGATGTCAAATAAAAAAGGCTGATTGTTGAAATGTAATAAAAGCAACAAGCATAAAGATACTAACCTGAATAATGTGTAGAATCTTGTATAATATTTTTTCACTTTAAATAAATAATTTTGTATATGTGCAATTTTATAAATATTTTTATATTTCCTTTATCTTTGCAAGAATTCTCTTGAACCATTTTGTCACTGAATAATTTCTTTTGTAGGCCACACTTAATTATTCTGAATATAGTGAAGTCATGAAAAGATGGGCTGATCATTTGTGTTCACCTCAAGTCAGTCAAAAAGTAAGTATTACATTTCTTTATTTTCTGGGAGACACGTTACTTGTAATGATTGCTCATTATTGGATAATAGGAACTGTAAGATGAACTGGTGAATCTAATAAGATATACAACCTGATAATTGTTTGGTTTTTCTATAATTTAAATAACTATTTTAGTTTATATTACATGCTTATATATAATTTCAAACTGTATCTATGCATACAATTAACATTACTGACTTTTTCCATATAATGCAGCCAACTTCTATAGCAATGAGGCTAGGCCTTATTGGCCAACAGCAACACAACTGCCATGTAAATTAGATTCCAGTGCCAATTACTAACAAACACCAAATGGTTATTATTAAAAGGGACAAGTCACACAAACAATAGATATGTGACTATATATCAACTTTACAGGACATTTATTTTGAGAACAAAGAATTTTTCAATCTTTTTATCTATAAAAATATTTTACTTGTATGTATTTGGAAAATCTTTGATCCACATGGTAAAAATAATTGTGAATATCAGTTGTGATTCTAAAAGAAATTCTGACAAGCACATATTCAAAAAACGAGAGCAAATAATTTGCTGTTTCCAGTTTAGGCTTGTCTTTTAAGAAAAGGTCACAACTTTTTCCGACTACATTTGCCAACCTTTAAGACGCTGGAAGAGTTCATAAAAGTGAATGTTATTTTTCTAAAACTATTAAATTGAAACTTCATTGAAAAACTCAAATACAGAAAATTAAAAGGTGATGTGCTATATCTGAATGGTGCTTTTCTTAAATTCTGTATCATTTGAAAATTACTTGTTAATTTGATTGTTGCTTATTTGCAATAATGATTAGCAACAAGTCAGTTGGCTCATTCAAGATTTAATGTTGAAAACAGTTAAAGCCAGGAAATTGATTGTCATTTTTATTGGGGGTGAGGACAGTGAAAATAAAATATAAATAAAAAAATTATTAAAAATAGAGTAATACAAATTAATACATAAAACTTTTTAAAATATTTATTTGTGCATGTATTTTGAATAACTCCTATTTAAATGTTTTCATTATTTTTTTTTTTTTTTTTACTCATTTTTAAATATTCCCAGAAATAAAATTTGAGTTAAGTACATAAAAAGTATCAGCAGTTTAATGATTTCCTCTTTAAATCTGCCTTAGTATTCAGTTTGAGTAAATGAGTTTTGATGTCAACATAAGGAAATATTTCTCACTTCAAAGTCAAAATAGACAAAACTATTTTTCTTTCATTTTTCATAATTGGAATTGAGATATGGAGAATTTTGTTTCAGTTACTTTTCTTAGAGTATAAATGAAATTTGTGTTAAAGATAAAAACTTTTATAAAATTATCAACAGGGTGGTTTCCAGTCCAAAAGCGAAAGGTCCAATGATCAATCTGTAAAACCCCAAGGTTTACCTGGTAAATATATATGTTATTTATCCACACTACTGCTTGAACGGAATAAGGCACAAGGCCATACTTTAAGTGGAAATTCCATGTAATCATGAAATAGTAAGGAAAATGGCTGTTTCCTTTAACACTTCCTTATTAGGACACCTCAGGGATTAACCTTGACACTCTCAATAGCAAAGGTGCTACTTCATGGGGGATGGCCCCTGGTGCTATGTGTCTTATACTTGAAGACAACTACAAATGGTACAAATAACATCAGGATAATCTTCAAAAGTGGTTCAACACATTGCAGACACCTCTTCCGAGTAAGACCCCCTATAGAGAAGAACATAACTAAGGACTGTGTGTATGCCATCCCATGTAGCTGTGGTAGGAAATACAAAGGAGAACCAGGCCACCCTCTTAAGGTAAGACTGCATGAACATTATAAAGCGGTAACACAAGGGGGAAATAGAAAAATCAGGCATAGCTGACCACATACGGAGGAAAAAGGGTGATCACTGCCCCCTGTATGATGATGTTGAAATAACAGAGAGCATCACTGGAAAATACAAAAACACATAGATATGAATACAATATGGAAATCAGTAATAAGGAGTGCTAGAGAAAAGCAATGACTAACAACAAAAATTACAATATAAGCTCTGGTAAGAATTAAGGTGAATTATTATTGTAATGAATGACTGATGTATTTCTTTTGTAGAGCAAAGCTGTGTTAGCAATGTTGTCTCTTGGTCAGTTTGTTCGAGTGGCTGAAATATTGTATGGAATGCGTTACTTTGACCGTGCTGCTCGCTTTATTGAAGCTTGTCTGGAATTTGGTCTTCTTGACAAATCTGAAGAAAATGGTATCCTTTTTTTCTTCCCCCCACCCCAACCATTTTCATTTCATTTCTTCTTTAAAGAATTTACTGGAATTTTTTGTGAATGCAGTTTAATTATTTTCTCTTAATTTAAAGTGAAAATGTATTGAAAGTGCTTTAATTTTAGAATCCTCTAGCATAAATTTATGTACAAGATCATACACCATATCTCCTTTCTTCACAAGATTACTACTGATACAATGTGGGATAATTAAAAGTGTTAGAATGGTAATGCTATTATTAACCATTTTTCTTAGGGCTGAATGAAAGAAAGCTAAGTTATACATTTAGATACACCAGATATTTCAATTTCTAATTAGTGTGTCTGTATCTTTAACATGTCTTTGTTGTATTTCTCTTTGTTCCACATATATAAACCATTATTAGCCTGGAGAGGTCCTTGGTATGAAGGATTCTATTGTGCATGATTTGTAAAATAAATAACTTCCTCAATATGAAAACATCTTTGATTTTTCAGGCCTTTCATAAATTTTTTTTTCCTTAAATAAATGTGCAGCTCCCCTTATTGAGGCCATATTTTTGGAATTCTCTCGTCTCCTTATCAACATGGGTCTGAAGCAAGCAGCTTTATATTATGGACAGATGGCAGGTGAGAAAGGACAATTGCTGTTAAAAGAAGTTGACATTTTATTCAGTTAAACCAAACAGGACATTTCTACTTCCACAAAGAGCTTTTTTTCTTCTTTTTTTTTCTGGTTGTTAGGTGGGGGTAGTCAATTTCAACCTTAATCATAAAATTTAGCAAAATAACAACCCATCCCAAAATAACATTACTTTTTATCATTTTATAGCTGTCATTGTGTTCACCTACTGAGGGGTAAAGATATCACCCCTGCACTTCCAAACCTAGGAATGATCATATATATTTTTAACAAGTCTTTCATACCCTGTTGCCCACCTTGGTGAGTACCATTTGTATATTTGTAAAATCTACAAATATCCATGGTGGGATTGTCATTGACTGCAAATCAGTTATGAAAACAGTCATATTGTTGCACTTTCTGTAGAATGCTGCCATTTCAAAATGTTCATGTTTGTAAGAATTGGTATAAAATGTGGTGGTCTTTTGTTAATTATTAGCAAAGCTTATTTTTCTCTTGTTTATTTGTTAAATATCTACATTCCTTGTGGATCCCAATTCGTTACTCAAAAGGAAAATCCTTTTTGGCAGAATTTTCTAGATAAAACATTTTTTCTCATCAGATTACATTTTTAATCAAACATAGAATATAAAATACATTTTTATATTCATATTTGAAAATTTTTCCAGTGTAAGTAAATTTTGTGTGTGTGTGTATGTATATATATATATATATATATATACTTAATAACCATGAAAAATAAATTTGGAAAGATTGACTTCACCAAGAGAAACAAGTAAATGTCATGGAGCCTCTTGAGATGGAAAATAGTCTACTAAGAAAAAAAGAAAAAAAACTACACATTTTTAATTTTGCTGGAGAGAAAAGGAAAAATCTTCAGTCCGGTGATCCTAATTTCTCTGAAACCCCTTTTAAAATGATTTATTAAAAGATTTAGCTGATAAGTATTTTCCTTTTACCAAGGAATGATTTGCCAGTCTTTTTCACACAAAATTTCTTGCACGCAGACCATTTGTATCTTCAATTTTATTTAAAAAAAAAAATAAATAAATAAAAGCCAGTTTTGTTTTGTTTATAGTTCAAATTGATTTACTAGTATTTTTACTTTATAATAAAATTCAATTATTTAAAATTTTTATCTAGAATTATAACATCCAAAACTTTACAAAAGGGATGATTAAGATTAGAGAAAATTTTTTTTTTTTTTTATCCTAGTCTAAGAACAACTGTTGCTCTTCATTGACTGCACAAAAAATGTTTCTTTCTAAAGAGTGGTTACACATAATTGTGTCCTACAGAAGGCAGAGCACAGCAATTCTTTTTATATTAAAGATAGATTCTATTTTTATTGAAACATAATTGCCAAGTTCATGAAAATCTAGTGGTAAGTTAGATTACCTTCTCCCCAAATTTTAGTTGTTTCCTAAATTTTAAGATCTTATGTCCTACTGTTTGAAATGACCCCCAATCTGAAAAGGATTGGACAAGAGATTTGTGTAAATAAAACAATTGCTTATATGATTTATTTTTTTTTTTTGTCCCCCATCTTCAATTATTTACTGATTTATAAAAAAAAAAAAAACTTTTCATCATAGATGAGGTCATTCCATGTCAATTCAATTAAAAAAAAAGTTTTTTTTTTTTTTTTTCATTTTGATATATGTTGTAGATAAAATTTTTAGAAAATCCTGAAAATTTTAAGCAAATATACAACATATATTAAAATGAAAAAAAAAAAAAAAAAAATCTATTTTTTGGGGTTACATTGATTGGTTGAATTGACACGGAATGACCCAGATAACATGTAATGACATTGAAATTTGGGTAATAAAAAGACAAACTTCAAAATGAGAAAATGATGACAAAGAGAGAGAAATGCAATTGACTGAATTTATTCCAAAATTTATTTCTATTTGATTTAAAAAAATAATCTAGTAATCAAGATTAATGAAAACAATATTTACATATGATGAGAAAAATGTGTCACTGCTTAAGTAATTGAAGTGAAAAAAAAAAATTCCATTGTGATTATCTTTAAGGAGTTTTGAACAGAATCTCTGAACAATTTTCAGACTAACAATTTTTTTTAAACATTTATACTGCTCTTCGTTTTAAAAATGTCAATGTTTGTTAATCAATAGAGGAAGACCATAAGATTTTCTGTTTAAATAATCCATAGAAATTAAATGTTCTTTACAGAGCAATGCTTGCAATGCAAGTAAAATAATTCACCTCTTCAAAGAAAGGCAACAACAGCAGTTAAGAATCATTTGGAACATGGAGATGTTCATGGTATACATTCAAAACTTAATTTCAAAGGTGGGAGAGGACATTAGAAAGATTTTTCAACAAAAATAACAGCTTCAAAATTTTTTCTGTAAGTTTTAAAGCTATACAGTTGATCAAATTGAATTTATGAAAATATTTCTTCTTTAGCCAGTGAAAAGGAGAGAGAAAAACTTTCAGCAGTCAAAGAAGCTGAACAATTTGGCATTAAATGAGATCAGAGTTCGCTGGAGAGAGGAATTCAGCAACTTGGCAGTTGTCGAGCTGGAGTCAAAATGTAAAAGGCCCCTTTATTAAAGGCAACCCAAATCTCAGGTAAGAATATGGTTGATGTGACCCTAAAGAGAGAAAAAGAAATTACATTATAATTTAGCACAAATTACCCTTAATTCTCACTAGAAAATGAATTCCTAACTGTTAGAAATAATGCTTAATTAAATTGTTAAAGAACAATACTTTGCTCTCCCGAGTCTTGTGGATGAGATGATCTTTTCAAAGTCTAGACTTGACAAATTGGGTTCTTCCATTCTAGAAGATATCTCCAATAATGTGGGATGGGTGTGGGGAATAAATAAAAATGGAGGACAAGAAAAGAAAAAAATTTAATCCACAGATTTGAGATCACACTGGAGCAAATATAAATAAAAACTTAATTCTAGACATTAAAAATAATTGATTTTACAAAAATGAAAGGGAAAAAAAAAAATTCCTGTGGCACCAATTTTAATAGTTGAAAATAAGGTTATTGAGTGGGTTATATATAAGTAAAATAGAGGACCCTCTACAAAAATGTAATACCTAATATTTAAAATGAATTTGTAATGAAAACTCTTTCCAAGAAACAAAACTGCTGTATTTCAAAACTAATTTAAATTGAATGGTAGAAATTGTTTTTTGAAGTTTCTAAAATTTTTGAATTTAGCACCATTTTTAGCAAAGTTTTATAAAAGTGTAAATCTCTTTATTAAAAAAAAAAAGCTTCCAAAGATAAAAATTATACTATTCTGAAACGGAGGAATATTAGCTGATTTAAAGCATAATTATGAAACCACTTTACTTAAGTTTAAAATATCACAGGAATGCCTTTTTCATTGCAATGGTAGCTGGTTTTACCACCACCATGACAGCCAATGATGGATGGATTGTTATCTAATGTTCTATGGGGGACTTAGCCATAAAAAAATAATTGAGGAATATAATGTGAACACTTTAAGTGCTTGGTAATTATAAAAATTTAAGAAAATATTCTCTGTAATCTAATGTTTTATTCAATTTTAGAGAATTTGTGGTTTAAATTTACTATTGGTTCCACCCTTCTTTTCTGATAGTGTTGTTTTACACATACAAAAACAATTCAAAATTCTTTTAAAAATATTCAGGTGTCAGATTTTAATAAGCCTTATGGTATATATTTAGTAAATATAGTTTTTACTTAATCTTTCCTAAGAGTTACACCATTGAAAATGAATTTTAAGATTTAAAAATATAAATTATTATAATTAAAAATAAAAAAAAGAAAACTGAAAAAAAATTTTTTCAAGACAATATTGTCCTTAATATATATTATTCATAAAAGCAATTAAAAGCTTCTCTAATTAAATGTCTTAGTTTTATTGCATTGTTTTTTTTTTGGTAAGATTAAATATTGGAAATAAAAATATACCCAATTGAAATTCTACAAAAGAATTCTACTTTAAACTAATATAGTCACTAAAAATTATCACATTGAATTTCTTAAGTTTTCAGAAAATTAAGTGGGTGAAACATTAAAAAAAATGTTACCAAGATTTTCTAATAAACATTTCTAAAATAATGTCATTCAGTTGGGAATAAGTCCTGAAAATTTTATTAAATCCTGCAATTTGATTTTTGCAAGAATTTCCAAATTAATGTCTCACTGTAAAAAAAGATGTTAAAATTTGCTATGCTAAAATATAGTACAGCCACTGATGCAAGAAAAACAAGATTTTTTTTTTTTAATCAAAATTTTGAATGTTCTTTAAAAAAAAAAAAAAAAATGGTTTTCATCATGGTATGCTGATTTTTGCAATTTTGTGTAAATATAAGTGGACACACACACATATATATATATTAGTGGACATTGCTTTGGATATCTGTCACCAGTGGCGACAGATATCCAAAGCACAGCCTGATCTTCACCATTTTTATCTAAAGCTTGATAGACTTTCAGCAGTTGGCCTAGAGATATAAAAGCAAATTTGGGTAAGAGGTTTAAACAAGCCAGAGTTGATTAGAGCCTTTTGTACTTTGTCAAGGTTCAGATGATTCACCTTAATTTTTAAAAACTGGAACTACAGAAGAGGATTTCCAACAAGCAGCAAGGCATTTATTGTAGTATTTAGACAGAGGAGAACATTTCTTAAGGATTATTGCAGGGATAGCATCATGTCCACATGCTTTGTGAGGATCCAGTTTAGAGATGGAAGGAGAAACCATGAACTGAGTGATCCACATATCATTCAATAGAGACTCAGTTCTAAATGGGAAATCAGGTACAGATACTCCAGATGACTCAAGGGTAGAATTGGAAGAGAATTTACAAACAAAACATTCTGCTTTATCAGATGTTAATACCCTAAATTGAGTGAAGGGAAGAGAGATAGAAGACTTACTCTTATTTAACACTATTACAGAGCTGCCAGTAGTCACAAGAACCAAACTTATTAGACTATACAGTGCCTCAAGCAAACAGACTTAGCCTCTTTAAGGATACATTTACAATTATTATGAGCAGAAATTTTTCCTTTGGTCTATTCATAGTCTTTTTAGATATTTATTTTTATTTTAAACACCTTATATTTATTAATTACACAATCCTTTCACCATAATGGATTTCTTTCTTCACCCATAATAATTCAATGATGAATAAAAGGTTATTGGTTTAGTTTTATATTCAAAGAAATATTTGGGGTGGTAATGAAGAACAATACTTGGATATTTATAACTATAATCAAATTGAAAAATTACTTATTGCTATCAGTTTTTGGCAGGACAGATAAACTAATTATTTAATAGTGTAGTACCCATCACAAATGATCAATCTACAGTTTATCCACTTATAAAATACAATGTGTGTCTGTATTTTGTAACATTTTAGAACACAGTTACTAAACTTATCTTAAAGACAGGGCCAAACAACCATACACACGCACACACCCCTGGAGCATTAACTTCATTAAATATTCCCTTACACACTCCTTTTTTGACAAATCAATGTCAGTATTCCTGATTCTACAACTTGTGTTGAGAATAAAATCCAGAAAAAGTAAATTTCAAACATCAAGAATTTTTATTTCAGCTTTAAAAGTGCTTTTCCAAGAGCATTACAAGAGAAAAAGAAAAGCTGTCTCCACTTTTCTGGTTGTAAAATTTTTTTTTGCATGTTAGCAACCTCAACACATATTGCTCTTGTAAAGTTTTTATTAATTTATTTTACCTTATTTGTGGACTGTTGTAGTGTTACATTTATTATTCTGATCTCATTCCAAAAGAGATTACATGGTCTTTTGGCTCTCCTTTTGACACTGAAATCTATTTTTTAAATGGAAGTAATGAAAAAATAAAATTGAACCATACTCTTAAGACAACAAAAGATAAGAGACCAGTTATCAGCTAAAATATTGGAATTCAAAAGAGGAAGAAATTAAAGGCATCACATTTATTTCTAAAAAAGAATTAACCTTGAGAAATGGTGAGACAAATATTATACACAATTTGCGTATGGATGACACATTTGTGTAAATGACAAGACAAAGTGGAAAATTTTATTAAGATGCATTTTGCTGGAGAAAGCGCATGCTCTCTTTGACATCATCAGTTTAAATGAAAGAAAGACAAAATTGGGTGTGGAAAATGCCTTGGGATCTCTGAGGATAATGGAGTATCATAAATTAATTACCCTAGATTATCACCTCCTGATGACCATACTTGGAAAATGTTTGTCCACCTGTATGCTTGTTTTATTCATATCTGTGTTAGAGTGGTGACATTGTCCAGTAGGTGGCCTCTTTGACAGTACATCTCATCTTGGCTGCAATCCTCTTGACACTTCTGTGACACCACTCCATTATTCCATTTCCTGCCTGGACATGCATGCATTAGAATCACAAATGCAGAACCCATCCTTTCACAAAAGCCTGGAACTCCCTACTATGAAATGCAGTTTTTCATGAGTAGCTCCTGAAGTGGTCTCCACTCACAGAAAACTGACGCCAACTGACACATAATGCTGACAAAGTTCTTCACATCACACAGATCGCTGACCAGTTTAGTTCAAACCATCCAACAATAGTATGGCCTTAGGCTAAACCATCAAATTTGGGGATTAGCTTCAAGTTGAACTTGCTGCCTGCTATGAGTGCTGAAGTTGCTTGTTGTAACATACAGCAAGGGTGTGTTGAAGTTGGGAGAAACACATAAATGAATGCTCTCCTAAAAACTATGTGGTAACAGGTAGAGAAAGGAGAGACGAGGAAACAAAAACAATACTGTCTCAGAAACCACGACAAGCAGCACACAACTTTAAAAACAAAATTCACAAGGGAATGACTTCACAAGAGTTTCATCAACTGCTGGTATTTCTGTCGCTTTTATTGACAGAAATCCAAATCTGGACAAGTTGCAGAGTGGCATCTGGAAATGCCAAGCTGTTCCACTGCTAATGGGGAAAACCCAAATGTAACTGATTTTGACAGACATAACCGCATGCAATTCAGGGCCTCTTTTGAATCTGTACTGATGTGCGTCCATTACAGTTTCCTTTAAACTGTTATGGAAGATAATAAGCATAACATCTAAGTGGGTATCTGATCATGTTTTTTTTATAAATTAGTGCTTTCCATGTCAGAATCTTTACTCAGTATTTAATAAAATTTACATTTAATCTTCTGTTCAGTCAATGATGAGCTTAATGCCCTGTGATATAGTTTTCTAAGTGGAAATAGCAGGCCAAAGAAAACCCAAAATTCCTTGCAAACTGCCTTTAAAATAAAATTAAATACATCACAATGAAATGAAAAAAAATACAGTGACATAATTTAATGGAATCTTCACCTCTTAAGGAACAAAGGCACTCAGTGAATCTGTATTCATATGAAGAAGCACTTCAGTTATGAGTGCAGAGATCAATGTCTTGCAGTATACTATTACTCCAACTTTTACTTTGATCAAGTCATTGATATTCCACCTCCATCCA